GGTTAAACAAGTGAAAATGAGAACAAGTTAAAAGGAAACTTACACATTTGCAGCAAATACAAAGGTCTCTACTGTGCAGCATTTGGGAAGCTTAAGCGGAACAGCAGTTCTGCTGCTCCGATTGATCACAAACTTTAAAAAAGTGGTGACAGAGAAACGATCCCCATCAATTTGAAACTCACTCGCAAATCTGTCCATAAAATTTTGAAAATCAGGACATTCAAAATCATCCCAAGGCCAAATCTCAGTACGTTCGTTGTCTGGAAATATGAGACATTGCCAGCATGAAGGATTAAGGGTCGCTTTGTACCATGACTTGCGCACAAAAGGGACATCCAAAAGCACTGACTCCATTCCAACTTTCTCGAACACTTTCACCAAGCAGGCCATTTCTAAGTCCTGCCATCTTCGGTTGTCCATCTGCAAGAGTATGACAAGGAATTAAAAGAAAGATCGAGCACTAAGACAAAAAGATTACTAAATAATAAACAGAAACCTGGGAAAACAATCACCTTAAGTTGAAGAATGCAGGGCTGAATGCATATGGTAATCATTCATAATAAGAACCAACAAGAGAAATAATTGATGGGGTGTTGGAAAATTGTTCATTCAGTAAGGACTTGCCGCATTCAAATGCAGTGCATGCTCTGGATGTTCAAAAGGACTTTTCCCATTCCAATGCAGTGCATGCTCTGTAGATTCAAAAGGACTTTCCACATTTCAATGCAGTGCATTGGTTTCGGAGGCTGATTAGGGCTACGCACAGTTTGATTAACCTGACCAAGTGCTTAGAACTGCCTACCAAACTGAAACTGATCAAGTCGATGAAGGAAATTATGGGACCAACATCGACCCGCCACTCTCATCTGCCGACCACACAGTAGGTTCATGACCAAGCAAATGGTTTGATGCAGGTCGGTTTCAGCGAAGAAAGAGAGGGAGAAGAAAGAGGAAGAAAGGTTGAAGTACTAATAATGCATTATTGCAATACATAATTGAGAAGTTTGTATCTGTACAATTCAATGTAATAGCAGAAGCTATGATTAGTGACAAAAAATTCAAACTGATGTAATAGCACAAGATATGCTTAATTACTAGATTTATCAAGACATTCCTACAATATTTATACATAATGAGATAAGCAATGCCTATTGCTGTAACATGATCTTGCATTAAAGAAATAAATGCTAGTGAAATATAGAAGAAGATTACGTCGTGGGGTATTTTGATTGCATGGAAAATTCCTCTGGAGGCAATTCAATCCAGGAAGACTGTAAACACAGAGGAACAATTATTATTTA